ATGGGCTTACTAACTGGCGACTACTGTAATATATGAACGTGCATTGCAATTGATTTCCTGTGATTTAACAGTAAATACTGACAGAAAACACACAATCAATGTTTTGCCATTTGGTAAGTGGTTCACTTAAGAAGAAGAAGAAGAATCGATCGTTGGGTCATCACTTTTATTCGCCTGAGTTTCGACATCCGTCGCAGATTCTTCATCAGAGGCATGAGCAGAAAGCAGTAGCAGAAACGGGTAACATATGCACAGAAAGTTGCAGTATTTATAGGACAGAGTTATTACTGCACATTTATGATAAATAACTGCAATTAACGATAATTGTCGGCTTGTGCATTGGTTACTTGATTACCGTCATGCGGGGCCTGACTTGCTGCATTTTCATCACGCGTGGTGGAAGTGGACGTAATGATTGCTCGGCCATCTGGTTCGACGGTGTTGGTGTAGGACAACGCGGTGGTTGCGCGTTCCCCAAGTGGTCACTTGCTTCGGCCAAATTGAGCCTCAGCACCGAATATGGATTGGGCAGGTCGTTGCAGTTTTTTTATAAACTGGGAGCCCGTAAACCATGACTAAAGTAATTGTCGGCTCACAGGACTGTCACCTCTTGCTATGATTTCGGCCTCATCAAATCTGAATGTGCGGCCGAGTCTCGTCGAATAAGCCACAACTTGAGAATTAACATCATTTCGCCGCACTGCTGCCGCGTGTTCGGCAATTTGCGTCTCGAGACGTCTTCCGGTTTCTCCGACGTAACTGATTTGTCCGCAACTACGCCAGATTATATAGGCGATTCCGGATGTTTCTTGCCGTGGCAGTGGGTTTTTGGTTTCATTATATGACACCTTATGGTTGCCTCCGACCTGTATGTGACTCCAACTCCAAGTGGTGCGAGAAAACGACCGATGGCGTCCGAGACGTTTTTGACGTACGGGGTCGGTGCCATCTCATTTGCACAAGCATTGGTTGACGAAGCTGCGCCGGTGACTTTCTGCTCAGGGTGCTCATGAAGAATCTGCGTCGGATGTCGAAACGTCAGGCGAATAAAGGTGTTGTCCCAGTGGTTGAAGCCTCTTCTCAGTTACTTCCTGGGACTCGCATGCAGGAACACAAGGCGGCGGCCCGGAGACTAGACCTTAACTCACAGCTTGCAACCCATATCGGAGAGACTGGCCTTGACTTCGATATTCAAGGAACGACCACCGTAGGCCAAGGAGCCTCAAAAGCTCAAAGGTGGACGCTTGAGGCATGGTACTCAGACGCCCAATCTGTCAACAGGCATCTGGCCTTCCCTGCGGCCTACAAGGTCCTACGCCATTACGTAAGTAAAGGACACGACCCGGTCAAACCGAAGTCAGGACTGGCACACGAAGACGGCTCTGTGACGAAACCACCGGAAGAGGGAGCAGGATTACCAGCATCCTCTGCCGTGGTGACCAAACAGAACACCAAGTGCCGTCACGCCAAGCCTAAATCCACACGCACTGATCAAATAGCGACCGGAGAAAAATCGATCAGCCCAAGGCCAACACGCACAGCCG